CTTTGGCGTCTCTCTGAGTAGAATGGGGCTAGCCCAACCAAAGTGATATAATGTATAGGCCTGTTGTGGTTCAGTGTCTTTCATCTTTCAGCTGCCTGCATGCATGTTGGAGGTGCAAGATACCTGAGCGTGTAATGTTAATTTTTACCTGTGTTCATTGAATAAATCAGCACTGTTTTGAAAGTACTTGGACTGCTTCATCTCTCAGAGTTAGTGTGGTTAAAAGTACCGGGTCCAACACAAACAATGTCCCTTAACGACTGAGTCGTTATACCCCAGTATCGGTGAGAGTCGTTACCTGTCTTTGAATCCTACCCTGTCGACCGACGCCTATTGTCCTGATATGTTTATATTTTTTCTATTTAGATTTTCTTCCGCAGTTTATTCAGGGTTTCCCATACCCAACTCTTCTAATAAGTTAAGAAGTTAGCAAGTAAGGCCAGCTAAACTGACATTACAATACAGCTGTGCTGACAAGGTCAGCCGCTATAATTAGATGCTAATCAATATCGACTGCTCATGCAAGTGGATAATGTTAATTAGTGGCATTAGGCATAACACCGAGGCTCCAAAGCCTGTATTGAGCAGAGGGGGTGTTTCCAAATTAAGCCTCATTTCCAAGCTTGTGTAATTTTCCCGAGTGTTATGTGATCAATGACAAACAAGGCCTTGGCTTCTGACAGAATCACGTGACTGTTTCAGTTTGAGAATCAGATTCAAACTGTTGATTCAAGGACAGAGAAGCCTGAAGCTTTGCAGGTATAGTTGGATGGTTACTTTGCAGAAAATGCTGAGAATTTACAGTATGTTTATTGATTTAATTTTATTTATTGTTCAGTGTTGAACTTCTGAATCATGTTTGATTCAACTCTTGGCAGTGAGAATATGAAACCACAATTAATAAACCGAATTATCTCCCTGTAAGATAATGGGTAGCATATATCTCACATAATAGAAACTTTGGTTTCTAAATAAAAATCAAATGTTTCCCTTTCCTCTTTCAGTTACACAAACATGTCAGTACTTGCAGTGACTGATGATGGCTGCACTTCATCATTTTTAACAGTAGGTGTCACTAGTGAACACTGAGTCAAATGAGGCTCCAAGTAATGAACCTTTTAGTTTTACAGCATACTGCAAAGACTCAGTGCTTCAGGAAACCCCCATTTGGCCATCACTAAAGTTGATGGTGATTCTTTAACTCTCAAGGCCTTTTCACACCGAACGCGACGCGAATAAGCAAGACAAAAAAGCGAAAAAAACGCAGGCGAATTTAACGTACCAAAAGTATTCACACCGAACACGACGCGAATAAGCGATATTTTCTTAAAACGTCGCGTTACAAAGATGGACTCCACATCAAGCGACGACAATGTACTGCTTGTCCTGCTACATGAAAAAAGAAAACAAAGAAGGTTTTGGGTCCATCCTATACTGAAAAGAAGGAGAGAACATGGCGAGTTTCATTGGTTGGTACAGGAACTGAAGTTGTATCATGGTTGCTTTAGGACCTATTTCAGGATGTCTGTGGGACAGTTTGAAGAGTTGTTGTTGCTGTTGACCCCCCACACGATGAAACAGAAAAATAGTTACAGGCATCCGATCGACCCAGAACAGCGCCTGGCCGTGTGTCTGACGTAAAAAAAAATTTTGTTTATTTGTAATGAAATCAGTTTAGTTCACAAGCAAGTGAAGATCCTCTGCTATCCGTCTCCATACGTTATCTTTGTATTCATTATCTTTGTAGTTTTTGTCCTTTTTATCATAGATAACTGAATTCGTTGAAACAAATTGGATTAAGCGGTCCGCCATGTTGAATTTGAATTCAACAAGCTGCATTGTGATTAGTCAGAGCTGCTGCCGTCGCCGCGCTGAGTTGGAAAAATCGACCCGGAGGCGAAAAAAATTAATGTCGCTTTTCGCGTCGCGAAATTACGTCGGCGGTGTGCAATGTATCATTGACAAGTTATTGGTTCGAAAAATATTATTGACGCACGAATAAATCGCGCATTAAATTCGCGTCTGGTGTGAAAGGGCCTTCACTCTGAACGTTTGCTGCCTCAATGTAGAATAATATTAAAAACCGTTTCCTAAGAGTCAAAGGGCAAAAAGACAGTCTGGACCAAATGTGTTAGCATAACAGTTAGAAACTTGAGAAAATACATGTGAAGGCTGAACAGGCCGACCGGCGTGACCAGCTTCAACCAGTGCTGCTGTGCCGCTGTGCCAGGGAGAGAGAGAAAGACCTAATTCTGTGGGAAACACATTTATTTATTTATTTTCACAATTATTTACCGTGAGTGCTGCTATGTGGTATTTTTGTGGTATTTGATCCTTTAGCCAGTTCTTCCTTTTCAAAGAGCAGAGTAGGAGTTTAGTGTCAAGACAAGAGACTGGGATTAAGACTCAAGTGAAACTCAAGTATAATGTGGAGGCAGTTAAAGAACTGAGATGTACCGTCTGTGTACACTGCACAGTACAAACACACAAGCACAGAGTACTGCACATACCAGGAAGTCTCGTAGCTTCAGTCGGCCTCGGCTGCAGTTGAAGAACGTGTCGTGCTGCCTGATGATTGTGCCCTCTGATTGGCTGAGCTGAGCCACTTTCTCGGCAAACTGCATCGGGTCGCTCACTTTGGCTTTGATTTCCACATTGGACATCATGGCTCTACTGAGCATGTGCAAAACAGGTGGTCAGACAGCGGTTTCAGTTCTTTGGATTTATTCTCTAAAATAAACTGAACTCTGGGAGCATCGGTAGCTGTGGATGCTGAAAACTATGTGATCAGAAACAGTAAGATAATGAATATAGAATTTAAGGAACAAGGTAGCAAAAAGAGCTATTTAAAAATAAATGCAGGAGGAAAAAACAACCTAATGTTTACCTTTATCAACTAACAGGCTTTAAAAAACATATAGCATTTCATTTTTTCGGTCAATCATCTCACTGAATATACTTCTCTTGAAATAAATATCTGAGTATTAAGAAACAAAGATATTCATAAAGTAGTTTAAAGTTCGTTATAAATGTATTTCTTTAAAGAATATTTTAATAAATATACAAATTCACTTTAATAAATTTCTACACTTTTCCCAAAATACAGGCAACAATATGGAATATCTTTACATCACTTTGGAGAAACTGAAACAACTTAAAGTTTGTGTGTTTGAAACTTCCGCAAAAATATTAGTTGTATAAACACTGGTTTCAACTCACACTAATATAGCAATAAAATCCATCGCAATTAGATTATTTGCTCAAATCGTTCAGCCCTACCTGGGGCACCCAAAATTATTAATTTAATGCCTCAAAAAGTTTCTTAATTGCCAAATTAAAGGACGACTCAATTACGTAATCCACTTTGCCCAACATAATAATTAAACTTTTTAATATAAGAGCAGACTGAGGAGTAGCAAAAACATTAAAGGCTTCATTACTTTCATCATTGCTGATTATCTGCTGATTATTTTTGTGAAAAATAAAAACTAAACTGTCTCTTTTAATGATCCCATGTCTGATCAATAACATTGACCAAATCTTGTATTGACAGTTTGTCAGGGGTTGTTTAAACTCAAGTGGTTTCTTCTGAGGACAGAACAGGTTTTTCATACATGCTGATGTTACAATTAAAAAAAAAAAAAAAAAAAAAAAAAAAATCACAATGAGGCGCGTGCACGTGACAACACATCTGTGTTTCAGTTGAACCTGTGACACGTCATTTAAATGATCTGTGTCACATACCATGACATCATTGTCTCACCTGTGGATCTAACGTGTTTAGCCTCGGTTAGCATTAGAATGTTAGCTGCCAGAACTGACAGCTGTCTATCAAAATTGCCATGTAGTTGAGAAGAAACGTGCAATGCAACGATGTCTGTCGCATACAAATTCACATTAAATCAGTAATTAACAGGTTTCCAGTAACTGCTTTATTTCTAAATTGAGAAGACAGATGTTGCAATGCTGCGCGCATGCGTATCCTCAACTGATTGCGGAGTTAAAGCTTTAATTAGCAAGCTAGCACCAAACTCTACAAAATGCTAGCGTTAGCCAGCTAGCTTGCAGCTAACCATAGCTGGCAAACGATATGTTACACTTGGCAGACAGGTAACTAACAACACATGAATAAAAACTAAACTTGAAAAACCTTGATTTTTACCTGCTTTTGCTGTTTCTGCTGCCGCCTGTCTGATTGTGTGTCACGGATTAATTGTACCGCTAAAAATTCTCCATCCGGGGCGGAGCAGCCAGTAAAACACATAGATAATCTCGTACACAGACAAAACTGATCACAGAGCAGCGCTGAGTCACAACCTTCTTATGATGTTTATTGGCGTTTTGCAAGCCAACTTAAGGTGCATTACCGCCACCTGCTGGGCTGGAGTGTGGAACAACAAGAGCGCCAGTTCACTCTTCGATCCCCCTCCATTCACGAGAGACGATCACAAGAGGTATCACTCTGAGCATCTTCCTGGAAAGGTTTTGAAAACAAACAAAAAGAACCGAGGTGAGGACGTCTCACTCTGCTTAATTTCTGCTGCACAAAAGTAACAAGCCATCAATGGTGGAAGAAGTACTCACATGCTTGACCTAATTAAAAGCAGCAGTACCATAGTGTAGACATACTCTGTTACAAGTAAAAGCCCTGCATTCAAAATGTTACTTGAGTCAAAGTACAAATGTATTATTAGAAAAAATACTGAAAATCCCCAAAGGAAAAGTTCTTATCATCATTTTCAGAACAATGCTTACCATATGATTTGATTACTGATACATTTAGTGTACGAGCATTTATGTTTTCGCTTCACTGGAGAAATGTTATACCTGTCCCTTTTGTTTGATGCTTTTATTTTAAGTTTGATCAAAATAAATTTATTTAACATGATTCTACCTCATTGTGATTACTTGGCCATTGCTGCCACTTACATCATGGTGTCACTGATAGCGTTTCTGTTTTTACATGCTAATTTCCACTGCTATCGGTGACACACACAGCTGAAACTACATTTAGCTCACCCATGCATCAATATAACTCGGGTCTCTGTGTGCCGTCTGCTGCCTGCATTACTGGGCAACTGGATAGCATCATGGTGGACAGAAGGAGTGTGAGAGAGAGAGAGAGATGGAGGGGGCTGTGGTTAGTTGCCATTTGGGAAAAATAAATCAGGAAAGAAGACGCCTGAGGAAAAGCACCGCTAAGGAAAAACACAGACATCTACGAGGCTTTCTGTGAGTACAATTCTTTGAAAATAATAACAATTATTATTTACATTCCTAACAACTGTTGTAATGATACAACCATGTTAATTATTCAGGCTGGAGCTAGAAAATTAGGGGACTGTCAGTTCCGTTCAGATCCATCTCTGTCTATGTCTGTCTCTCAGATTGTCTCAGCATGACTGTCACATATTCCAGTCAAGTAGCCAACGCCACCTTCTTTGGTTTCCACCGGCTGCTGCTGCGCTGGAGAGGAAGCATCTACAAGCTGCTGTATCGAGAGTT